GCCCTTTTAAAATTTCTTCCTTACAAAGGTTCAGTAAAATTAACTTCATCCGTCCCCAAGAATGTCATCAGGGAAATTTACATTATTTGATAATTTTTTTCCAGTGTGTTTGGTTGTGGTTTGGTTTGGGTTTTTTGCAAGCCTAGGAAATTATTAATAAAACTGACATTTAAAGAAGCCATGGACGTAAAATCAAGAACTCAAGAGTTAGGAAGCCATATTATTAAAGCTGTTTGCACCCTAGCTTTTAATGTGTTTCTCTGCAAACAGTTCAGTTACCAGCTCATGCTACCAGTTTTGATCGGGCTCAATGCCTCAACCACCCCAGTGATGATTATGTCTGTTACAAGAACAGGCCAGGGCATTATAACATAAAAAAAAATTGATTTCTACAGGAAATAAACTTTGACAAAGTTGAACAAATAAAGCAGAAAAAAATGCAAAGCAGTCCTGGTTAATGCAGCCAAATGCTGCACTGGAGAAGAGGATTCAGCTCTGCATCTTCCTTGGACTGCTCAAGAGCTACTGAGAAAATCACTGAACCCAAACATTTTGCCAGCAGTTACTGATTTCTCACATCTCTCCTCCATACCTAACACTGCAGGTTGGCAATATAAGATGCCAGAGCACTCAGAACTAGGGAGTTTCTATGAAACATGAAGTCTCAATGATCATCGGACCTTAAATGTGAATAACTTGCTGTCATTTTGAGTCACCTTGCAGCCCCAGACCCACCCAAAACCTGTGACTGCACTGACCTGGACCTCCTCGAGCCTCACTTCTTCCCCTGTGAACTGGAACAATGCTATTATTTCTCTTTGTAGGGGAACTGTAAAAATATCATGCAGACCCACCACCTTGTATGCATATGTAAGCACGTGGAGGTCAGGGAAGGACTTGGGTATTACAGCAGTAAGTGCCATAGGAAAGCCCAGCAGTAATTATTAATTCCATCTTCAAGCTCGGTTTGAATACAGCTCAACAAACGAAGCACGGAAGAATGAGGGCAAGATAAAATATTGACTAGCTGCTCCATCATTGTCTGGGCTGTGCCCTAGATAGCACAAGGGTATTTTGAAAAAAAGCAAAATGGAAACACCTAATAAAGGCTGGAGCTTTAAGGATTTGAATTTTCAAACTTAAGTGCTTTTTTTTTTTAAGATAATTTCAATGTACTTGTACATAACTCTAAATAGAGAGACAGTCACATATAGGCATGCACATATAGAGAGGTTATATAGGCACAAATATACAAACATTTATCTGTGTGTACCAAGACTTTTCTAAAACATAAACAAGCATCTGACACCTAGTGCAGTCCCTGATGAGAACTGCTCTCTCTTCTTTGCAGACTACTACCAGTAATTATTTACTATTAGTTCTTAATGGGAAGGGATTCAGGGGGGATGTAGCAAACAAGAAAACTGTAAAGATTGTTCAGTATAGCCTAGCTGGCTCTCAGCTGAGACAAGAAGTGATTGGCTCACACCTCCTGGATATTTCAATCACAGTTTTTATCACCCGGGAAAAGCACCTTATTAACCTGTACTTGGTCAGGTCTCTACCATGTCCATATAGGCTGTCAAGATCATACAAGTGCCCCTTCTAGTTCATGTTACCAGGCTTCCAGCCCTAAACTGCTGTGGGGTTAAACAACCAACACAACAGAGACCTGAATGGCATAGATTTATTTTTATTTTGCAACAGGGTAAAGGCTCCCTCTTCCCATAATAGAAACATCCAACCGAGGCAAAAAGATTGTCCTAAAAGGCAATGCTGGTGATTCACAAGTGAAGCTGTCATGTGGGGGGGGGAGGGGAAAAAGCCCTCCACGTGGATTATTTCATTACTTTAAAATAAATAAAAGAACCCAAGGAAAAGGGTCATGGTGAAGGGACTGTGGCATTTTTAAAGACATGTGCCCTACTACGGATACATTTTCTGGCACGTCTCACATCATCACCCCATTCCTGTGACTCCTCCACCATCAAGAGGAGTTATGTGCTTCAGCCTGGGGAGCCCCAGCACCGGGCAGCCCATGTGTGAAAAGCACCGGTTTTTTCGTTACGGCACAGAACTGAACTATGCAACCAGCACACACTGTAAAGGCATTCAAGATATGACCAAAAAAAAAAAAAAAAAAAAAAATTGTTCAAATGCTTTCAATCTGCAGAAAACAAATGCTCTCTTCACTGACTGCTCTGTGGCAAACTTATAATTCCAGCCAGAAAATCCAGCATTCCCAGTCTGGGCTAACGACCATGCTACCAGACATGAGTTTATGTTTTTCATGCACATTTCATGTATTCCCACACGCTGTGTTGCTGCCAATAATTTATGACTGATCTGCACCCAGCCTGCCCTTCAGCATTTTATTTAATCTCTGCAACAGTGATTTACAATGACTCATCATTAATACAAAAATGTACATGTGTGTTAACAAGTTTGGAAGAATCTAAGAAGGAAGGCAAAAATTTTTTTGCGAGTTGTGGCTGAATGACTTATGAGCCTGCTGAAGAAAGGCAAAACTAACCAGAAATGATATGTTAGTTTTTCCCTGCAGCAAATTATTTAGGCAAGAAGAGTTTCTTCTGCACGCTGCCTTGGAAGAAAAGGGATTCAACAAAGGCCTGGAGAGGATTGCCCCATACCCTCCAGGATTTGGGAGGGGGTGAGTACCTCACTGGTCACCTCATGGACGGATATTTCTCATGCAACCTGTGCTTTCAGCAACAGCTTCACAGCCTCCTTGTTCCTTAGCATTCATTACAAAAAAGCAGGGGCCTGAACTGCCAGATTTTGGCATCTCTGCCCACCACCTGTGACTTAAGAAACCCCAACTGCCTCCATAGTGCTGAATCCTTGTTCCGCTGGAGAGAGAAGGGGAATTGTCTCAATAATTTATGCAATTGTAACACTACAGCAGAATTACTGAACTAGCTCAAGCAGAGCCTGCCCTACATCCACAAGAATTCAGTTATAATGTATTTGACCTCCTTTTTTTTTTTTTTTTTTTTAAACTAGCACATAAGGAACTTATAAGAACACACCTGACACAAAGCCAAAGTAAAAACTTCTCATATTTGAGGTGAGATGAGTGCTAAAAAACACCCTGGAAAGTCACTCGGGAGAAATTCAAACAGCTTTAGTTCAAGGCATCCCACGTTCATCCTCTTGAAAAATTTCTTTGATGGGCCATCCTAAACTGACACACTTGCCCACACTGAATCCTACACTCCCGGACCCCGAAGAGGCAGCACACCCTTAACTCCACCCCATCTGTTAAATAAGACCCTGACGAATATACACAACTGCTCAATGGGCCAAAGTGCCCATCGTTGAACTGAAGGACAACCATATAAATTAGGGTAATGCCCAGATGAAGGTTGGAGGATGTAAAGCTGAGGCAAACACTAATTTTTTCTGGCTGAGCCAAAATACTGTAGGTTACGCTACCTTATAACACATAAATTTTGTGGTTAGTGCCTTTTATTCCTCCTTTTTTAAAGTATCTGGGAAGCATACTTCATATCCACTAAGTATTTGGTATTTCCCTTTATTCAGCGTCTTAAAGGGCTTCAAAAAATTGATCTCCCAGGGCTGCTGTGGGGTCACAGAAATTGATAACCCTTACAAGCTATGCTTATGTGAGCCCGCCTGCGTCTCCCAGATAGTGCACTTTGTAAATTAATCCTCCAAAGGCAAATATATTGTAAGTAGCTTGTTATCTCTAAAGTACTAAATTGAAGAATACATGGGATTATATTGACAGAAATTACATTTTCTGTAATGGGGTTTAATATATCTGAAATCTCTCCCATAGGCTCCTACTCTCTCTAAGAGAGGAGGGTTTGTTAATGTAGGTGCAATGGACATCAAGACCAAATTTATTCACTAAAATGGATTAGGCCGTGTAATCAGAGCTTCAGTAATATTAATCTCTGACACTTATTGAATGGAAAAAAAAAAAAAAAACACAACAACTTTTGTCTGCAAACTGGCATTCCTCCCTCCCTTTTCCCCAGCAGGCTTGCTGTTTGCCTTGGCCATTTTCTGGGTATTACTTCAAAGAGGATAAGGTTTCCTGTCATAAACACTAATCTAAAAATATTAGGACAATTAATTAGATACACTTAGTTTTACAAGGTATTAGATTGCAATACACTTCAAATATGACACTTGTTCTGGGATAGTGGGAGGAACCTACATTTTGATGCAGTATCAAAGGGTGATAAATCACATTTTTTTCAAAAAAGGTTTGCTTGCTGTATGACACTTAAATCACAAGTAATTTTCACTGGTTGCCTCCACCACACCCTGGACAGTCAGCAATCCAAAATTCACTGCAGAAACAGCACAAATCCTGATTTCCTTCAAACAAATCACTACTGTAACAGATCAGGGGCTCCACCAACCCTTAGTTGGAACAAATAAATAAAATTGCTCCACATTGTACTTCAGCAGCAAAGGACCAGACTGTCCTCAAAGTTTACTCAAGCTTTAGAAAACCAGATTTTTAAAACAAACCCATAAAGAGACACAAAGATGTCAGTCAAAAAGAAAAACTCCACCAACAACAATAAAAAAGCATGACAGCACCCCCAAATAACAATACACTTGGCAGAAATGGGACCAACTGCCCCTTTTCTTTCACTCAGCATCTGAACCTCTTCCAAGACCAATGTTCAGCAAATGGATGTGCCTTCCTATTGAAGAACACACATCCCCAGCCAGAAGGACTGGCCCCCAAATGGCAGTCTGAAATCTGAATCACCGAAAATTTGAAATCTGAAACACTGAAATCTGCCCAAGTGACGGGAAAATAAAATACAGCAGCAAACCTCCTAGTTACTATACCTGAAACCACTCACTTGGCTATATCCCTTTTGCATCAACAAACTGTTGGGGAGAGGAAACAACAAGGGCAAGCTGTGTTTCCCAAAACCACAAAGCCAGAGGGTGCCAGGGGCCATACAGAAACACTAAGGAAAATTACTTACCAATTGTTCACTTGAAGTATAGTGAGCCCTGTGTCTTGTGCCAACTGCTTTTTCTGTTCTTCTGAAGGGTAAGGGTGCTATAAGACACCAAAATAAATATATACATTTAAAACAATGCACTTTTTTGGCCTACTTTTAATTTCAAATTTAAAAAAAAAAATGCAAAAACCAAAACAAAACAGAAGCGTGACATCTATTACTGAAAGGTGAAAATGCTGAGGTGTGTCACTCATTTATAATTATTAATGGGCTACTACATCACTTAATTAATGGCAGTAAAAGACAAGCCAATTATAAAGATTAGTGAAGTGGAGAAATAACTGCTTAGGATACTGACAGTACCTTGATACTTGAGAAGGATATTTGTTGCATTAGCTGCAAGTTTTTTGTACTTGTCTCAAATGGTTGATTAGAGTCAAATCATCTTTTTTTTTGTTGGGTTTTTTTTTCTGTATTTCACAGAACAATAAAGAATGTGATAAAGCACTTCTCTGTAAAACTAAAATACACTGATGTTTTCTGAGATAGTGAAGGCAAAACTTGCCAGTGCCCCCAGATAATTTGCAAATAAGATCAGCATCCTGAACATAAACAAACGCCCGGGTTTTGAACACAGGCCAACACAAGGTCAACAATCAGCACATTTTTGCCTGACATTAACATAGCTGTGCTGCACTAATCCTAAGAGACAGAAAACAAATACTGCTTTAATTGAAGATAATGTTAAAATTCAATCATAAGTTAAGTTTCTTGTGAGAACTTGATTTGCTTTCTCAGAAAATTCGCTTCTGCATGAACACAGATTGCTTAATAAATCAACAGCAAAAACCACAGCCAAGTTTGAAATGCAGAAATATAATTTCTGTCCTTTTCCTCTATGTAAAAATATCACTGTCCCAAAAGGAAATGGGCAAATATTGCAAAAGTAACAATTTCAAGGTACAGTCCTGTTTTGAGCATCTGGTTCAGCTCCTAATCTGGATGCCCACACCTTGGATTCAGACCTGGTCTGCTGCAAGGTGCTTAACAGCATTTCAATAAAGATAATTTGATAGAACTGCTTAGACCTATCCCAACGCCATTTAGCAATTGATTGTCACAAAGTATTTGCTGTTACACAATCATCCCCTTCTTTTCCCCCAAAACATTCCCATATTCTGTGGATGTATTCTTCAGTGTAATATTACATGAGATGTAAACCGAAACCTTGTAAAGCATAAGAATTTAAAACCTCATAAAATTCCACAATCTTATTGGTATCATAACTATTTAGCAGATTTTATATATTCTTGTAAACAGCACAGTCTGACATCTCATGGTTACATTCCATGCCTGTATCACCTCATGTTACCAAATAGGAATTTTTGTCTTAACTCCAGCAGCTTCCCCTAACTCAATATGCCCATTTCAAAGGCCACCACAGTGGCCATCAGCTCCATAGGAGAATTTTGAATTTTTTGCCACCCAAAAACACTGGGGAATTTTCCAGGTCCTTTTAAAATACTGTTTTCTTGAGAGGAAGCCCACAAGCAACCTGCACACCTGTAAACCACCCCCTGTTCCACACATACATGAAAAAACTCCAGAATTGCAAAGTAGAAAACAGAGGGAAGGGGATTTTACTTCTTGGTTTTTTACAGGTAATTTGCATTTTACACATGAAAAAACATAGCATGCATTTTATTGTCCGCTTCCTATACACATTCACCTGCAACAAATAGTCAAACTTGACTTATGGGCATCTATCTGAATACAACATTTTGCTTCCCTTCAAAAAGAAAGAAAAAGAAAAGAAAAAAAAAACAAACAACAAAATCTACAGAGATGATTTGTAACATTTTCATCTTCACAGTTTACTTCCCATTTCATTACTTTGCTATCAAGCGAGGACAGAATTATTCTTTTTTTTTTCTTATTTTGCTTTGCCACCTTACATGTGATCTAATTTTAAGTAATTGAACAAACTGTGTCTAATTTCATGCAGCAAGCAATAATTACTAGACAGCCTCTAGCTATTGGAATTGAGAAGTCTGTCTCCATTAAGCAATTTTCAATTGTTCTGGACTTTTTTCCAAATAGACAAGACTGGATAAAATTAGCCATCAGAATAATACAGTCACTGTAAAAATAATTGCTTTAAAAGTCCCAACCCCCCAAATTCCTCAAACTGCGGTATGTTTAAGGTCATCTGATTATTTTTTTTCTTCATATCCTAGTACAGCATAAACTTTTAATTTCATGATAAATCTGTAATTGCCATAATCACATGACAGCCTGGGATTTCACAGAGCTAATCCCTCTTAGCTGAAGGCTCACAATGCAGCAGGCTTTTTAACTATCATTTGGTGTGGTTTAAAGTAATCTTAAACACTAGGCATCCTTATTATATAAGCTTTCTGCGGATCGTACGAGTTGTTCCTTTGTAGGCTAAAAATAAAATAAATAAAATAATAAAAATGACTTGACAAAGAATCAGCGTGCCACAGGCTAGGTTGCTATAAAAACATTCAAAGCCTTGTTGCATTCCCACCCACAGGGCTCCGAAGGCCTGTGCTACAGGCAAAGGCAGACATCACATTGCACCAGAGAGAAAGGGGGAAACCCTGAGAACTGCCATTTTATGAAGAAATAGGAAATTCAGTCGAAACTGTTGCTGTTGGCCTTTGTGCCGCCTGTGCAAGAACGACAAGTGCCTTCCAAAAGCTTCCTAATGGTTGTTTAAAAGGGGTAAAGACACATGCACATAGATATGGGTATTCATATTGGTGTGAATACAGGCATATTATATTTGCATGAGTATGTATAAAATATACAAATATACCTATATATACATATATATATATATATGTATATTAGTCAAATGGTTTTGTCTAAGATAGTCCTGTGAGGAGCAGAAAGCTGGATTTGATCCTCATGAGTCCCTCCCAGTTTGAGACATTTTATGATTCTATGAAATACATAGAAATATATATGGAAGCATGTCTAAAACCACCACACTGACTCCAGCTGACAAGTCCACCTATCACTCTGGATCACTCTGGGATATCAAAGCAAACTGTTCAATAAACAGTGACTTGAGACCTTTACTTTGTTGTGTACATTAGCTCCTACCATTATCTCTTAAAAGCTTAATTATTTGCAAACAATTGATCAAGATGGGAATTGGAGAAAAGAGACGCCGGACCACCGGGAGAGCTGCAATGCATTAGGAGAGCAAACAGAATTACCTTTAGGTCTTATAATCAGAATTAACGATTGGGACCTTATGCAGGGCAGCACGAGAAGCTGTAACGCTCATGTTGGAGTGTTTTCCATTTGATCTGCATTAACACCTCGAGTGAAAGCCATAAAACAGTGATTACAGATGGGAAGGCTGACCCTCCTTCCCAGAACCAGCCCAGCCTGTGTATACTGGAAGACTGCAGACGGGCTTTCTTGCCAAGGCCAGAGGAAAAGGGCAAATCCAAGGGGAAAAGCAAGTAGGAAGCCATCAGTTTAAAAAAAAAATATTAAAAAAAAAAAAGGGCATAAGGCTGACAACAAGATAAGGGCTCTGAATTTGGCTCTGATATTTTCTGATCAAGCCTGCTGCTGCTACAGCACTACAGAGCAGCATCCACCAAACGATATGAGACCTTGTGCTTTTCCCCTTCCATAAATCTAGCACTGAAATGTGGATTGTTTGGCACCATTAATGTGTTTTTGAGGCTCTGTGGTATTACTTTTAATAATGACTTAGTACAGAAAGTGATTGCTTAATAACACCATCAAAGTCTGCATGCAAATGAAAATTATCCCTGGGGGATTTGCCCAGGGTAATATGAACAGTTAAGGAACATTTGAAAAGGTAAAAATAACTATGCAAAATATGAGTCAGAGCAGTCGTTTTAGCAGTAACAAAGAAATCAAAGTGACAGAGGGAAAAATGTAAGTTTCTATCATATTTTCTCGTCACTGTTTTATGAATGGTATTTAGCAAGCAATAGTCTTAATAAAAGCCCCTTTCTGAATGCAGCTGAGAGTATTTTTAGCAAAAATAAACCAATAAGACTTTTTTTTTTTAATCACCTTTGACTACAGACGGTGGGTAAAGTCTCCAGTAGATACAGATGGAAAGTGGCCAAGTTTGTCTCTTAATGTTACACCTTGTCCAAATGTACTCCTTTCCTCAAATTTTCCACCCCAGGCAGCAAATGCTGGATGCCAGGACAGTGACAGACTTTATCTTATCTGTAACCTGGTATCAGAAACACTGCCTCCCTCCCTCCCTGCCACAGCAGTGCATCCAAATTGTGGCAGAAAAATAGGAAAATAATCCTGCTCAGAGTTCACCGCTGAGACAACAGAAGGCAAAACCACCCCTTCTCACTCCCCCCCTGGTTACTAATTCCTCATGGCACCAAACCGGCTCAACACCAAGGCTGACAGCCAGCCCTACTCCAGCACCGAGGCAGGAGCAATCCCCCAGCAAAAGGTTTCATACTACGTTAGAAGGAGGCTGTGGCAACCGTCCAGCGTCACCCTTATCGTGGCAGCGCCGTCGCTTGGCTGACCGCACCGGGAGGGCCATTTCGGAAGTCCTTTTATCCCCTTCCTCCAGCCCTCTGCCTCCTCCAGAGCTCAGTGTAATGCACCAAGGTGAGATGACCTTGAGCTAAACTCTGGTAGGAGATGCAGAGAAAATGCCCCCTTGAAATGTACGCCTTCAGGAGCATTTATTAACTGTTTTCTTATGTCTAAATAAAAAAAGAAAAAAAAAAACAAACAAAAAACAAACCCCAACACTGTAATTTCCCAGTTTCCGAAGAGAAATCCAGCCCAGCTCAGTATCCAGAATAAAGCCCAAGGTTCAGCCCTCCAGTGACAAACTGCACATTGATTTTATGCTGAACTCTAAATTCTTGCTTTACTCAAACTTGTCGAGGGTCAGCTAAGGTGGCAGTGCAGCCGTTTGGGTCTCTCCCCTTCCCCTACCTTCTCCTGGTTTGCATTTGAACTGTTTACATTAGTGATCAAGTTGATCTACGAGAAATTACAATTTGTTTTTAATATCCATAATGCTTTCCTATTGTCTCTC